TGTTAAAAAATTCTTCCATAGCCACAGTATAAAATAAATGCACTCTCCTCTCAGTGTTAGGGCTTTCTCTGAGCCCCTCTGTCTTAGATTTCTAACTTTATTTCCTAGTCATCTCATAATTTTAATTCCAGGTGAACTATTTGACATTTCTGTATGCACCAGCATATAGCCCCACCCCACCCCACCCCCATGCCTTTGCTGATGTTTATTTCTTCACCTGAAATCTTTGTTTCTGAAATTCCTTAGACTTGGAAAGTTTAAGCTGTCTTCCCAAATGCAGCTGTATCTTATATCTCTCTATGCAGATTTTCTTGATGCTCCTCCTTCAAGAGATTTTCTTTGTTTTTGACATTTTGTATTATCTTGCTCATATTTCTGATATGGCAGTTAAGTTCTGCCCTGTATTATCTGTATTTGTATGTGCATCTGATACCCCCAATAGACTTATTAGTGTAAGAACTCGTCCTTACTCAATTTTAGATCCCATGCAGCATCTTGTATATAACTGATACTCAGTAACATCTTACTGGATTCAACCTGCAGCTTCTGCTTCTTCCTCACTGTGCTTTTTTTTCTATGTGGCAAACATCAGTAAACATTTTTTAAAAAGAGTAAGTCAGCCCTTCTTTTAGCCCTAGTTTATCTTCTTCAATACTACTCTCTATGATTATTAACAAAGTACAACTTAACCAAAAAGCATAAGTAAAAAATATAAAAGGTTTACAGAGGTACCACATTAATAAACCACATTTCACCATTTCCTTGATCCTCCAAATTCTGTTCTTAAAATAAGATTTAAAGTTTAACCTTTGAATCAAATGTCTCACCTTGATGGTTCAATCCATTCTCTCCCAGACCCAACATGTACTATTCTACTGAGTACCATCCATAGGTGCCCCTAAATTGGTGTGGTCTCAATCACCCAACCTTTCCCTCATTATATATCAAAAGAAAATTGAGAGTCCACTGGGCTTGGAAAATTTTTCATCTTCAAAACAGTAAAACTTTTGTAGGAATTATGGAGATAATCAAGTTTTTCTCTGAGGTATCTTTTTGTTATCCATATTCACTTTTTATTGATATAAAATGATTAAAAGCTAAAAAATATTTCAACAGGAGAAAAAAGTTAATTTGATAATGGTACTAAGAAGGAAGGCTTTTACCTATTCCCCTCGGCCCCACGCCGCCCCATCCTACCAGCTCACGTCACATTCAAAGTAATCACATCCACTTCAAAGAAAGCTAGGATACATTTGTGGTAACATTTCTCAACTGTTTGATCCAAATCCCCCCTTGATAAACACAAAATCTCATGACCTCAAATACATACTCCCTCAATAGGCAGAATACACAATCTAGAGTCTATTTAAGTTCATCATCTAGAAAAATGTTAGCAATGTTGCATTCAGAAAATGAGTGTAGTATGTATGATAAAAAATAAACCATTATTTTTTTGGTTGGTCCAAATAACCCAGGCATCCATTCATGCTTTCTACTGTACTGCCCACAGCTCTGTTGAGGATCATTGCTCTCCTAAAAAAACAAAACAAACCAAATATGCTTAGCCTTATCTAGGTAAAGGATAAGTGATTTATTATCATCCAAATCATTTTTTCCAATAGTGGTAAAGGAAGGTATGATCTATGATCTGTGATCTAAGATCTCTTTCTCCCAGTTCCCTCTGGGCTTGAGGGCACCCAATTGTAAAACAAGTGCAATCTGAGGCCACAGCATGGAGCATGGAGGTGCCTGGTTGACACCTGAATTCAACCTGCAGCTTCTGTTTCTTACTCACTATGCTGTTTCCTATAAACCTAAACATCTCAGAAGCACAGCATGGGAAAACTTGAGATAATACATTTATTTGCTATTAAAATAAAAATCACTCTTTTTTTTTTTAATGGTTCAGTCAGTAGAAATAGTACTGAGATAGGAAAGTTTCTTGACCATGCAGGCAAAGAAGTCAACTAAATGACAATAACTTGGACTCCAGGAAGCTTACTCAGCTGTCTCCACACTTTCTTGTGGCATTCAACTAACTTTGCACAAGAGTTCCTCTCAGAAACTTTTTTGGAGCATCTACCATGAATTACAATAACCCTCTTTATAGTGTGTATTCTATCTCTCTTTGGTATTAAAAATAAAAAGACTAAGTAAAGGGAACCCCATCATATACCTGTAGCTCTCTCAATTGCAGAAAATCATTAATCTGATTTTTTAAATGAGGTATTTTCCTACATATTGTAACTGATTTACCAAAGTATCTTTTATCATCCAAAACCTCACATGTGGAATTTTAGTAAAAATCTCTTTCTAAGGATGAATTTGAGACTCATTTCTCTCTCTCTCTCTCTGTCTCTCACACACACACATACACAAACGCGCGTGCGCACACGCACACTCACATACCCGCCTAGTTTTTTGGCAAGTAAACTAAAACATTCTGTGAAGAAGTTCCTTTCTTTTGAGCCTCTTTATCTCCAAGTCTGAGATCAGTCCCAGAGGCTGTGTCATTCCAAGCCTGGCACTGAGGAGCGAAGCTTGCTCGAGGCCTCTCCATTGTAACCCAAGGGTAGAACCTTCATCTGTGCCTGTTACATCCTGCCCATGCTCTCCTCCCTTCCGGACCCTTTCCTGTTCATTAACAGCTTCCCTAAATCCAGTTTTGCTGGGGGTGGAGAGAAAAACTCAAAAGTTGCAGAAAATACAGTAGAGAAGAAACAGTGTCCTTATACAGTTATCAAGTTATCAACTCAAAGAAATTACTAGCAAATTAAATTTTAAAATAATTAGAAGTCAGAGAATGGGTCATAGTTTAAAAATAATTTTCACTCTTCCTGGGAGTTCTATGCCATTTTATTCTTAATCTGCCCAATTTTTAACAATTGTGTGATAATAAATTGCCGTTTCTGCATTGACAGTTACTTGTAAACACAAATCGCCAAACATTAATAACTTTTGTACTAAATTTCAGGATTCTCAGGACCATGTGGTCACAGACGTTTTATATGCTCAGATGTAGGACTGTGTTTTTACAGAGGACTACATGTTAAAGCCTAACCCTCCACAGAAAAGAAAGCTGCTCTTCATTAACAGAATGGAAGTCAAACCATGAGGTTATCACATGATATACACACTGGCGGAAGGATATGAAAGTCATGATGGCAACATGCAAAAAGACAACAGGTAGGTAGGAAAGTTCAGCCATATTTTTTCATAAATCTTGTCTATGTACCTCATCAGCATTCCCACAGAAAGCTGACAATTGCTGCTTTTTGAGCACTGACTACATATTTACCTAAAATTTTGAAAATCTCAAAACTCATGTAAACCTGTGTAAAGGTATTTACTTTCATCATAAGGACACCATATTCTCACATACGACATGACTTTCTTGCCTCCATAAAAGGCCATAATTCCTGCAAATATCCCCTAATCGACGACATTTATGCAATTTCTTTTTTTCATGGCATATCTAACTTAAAAACAATCATCTCTTCCTGCATTACACCAACCATGTACTTTTCTTATACATATCTCTAAACCAATTTTTGCTTCTCGCCTTTTTATACTTAGTTACACAAAAGCTCTTAGACTGCTTATAAATTCTGTGTGTGAAATAGCTCATGAATATAGACAGACAAACTCAGATATGACATGACAGACACATGCTTAATGATTGAAACTGGACAAAATTGGATCCAATAAATCAACAAAATAATCTTAAAAGTTACCTCCTTTAAAAAAATTGTTTGGTAACATTTTAAGCTAACTTTCAATATTAAAGCAAAACAAGAAACTCAAGTTTCTCCACTGAGGACAAGCGAGCCTACTTGAATGTTTTAAAGAAAAATAGGCACTTCCTTTTCCTTCTTTAGATAACTTGATATTTCCCCTGTTATATTTACATAGTTCAGAAGTCTAGACAATTGCATGGTCAATACGATAGCGCAGGCCCTGCTATGTTGCTTTTTGCTCAACTCTTCCTTTTGCGGTCTCCACCGGGGTACTCTGCATTTGTTTTGATTTTTAAGGAGCTCCGTTTGAGTACTCTAGTCTACTTTTCCAAGCATTCACCTGCAAGCATTTTCATCTGAAACACTGAACTCTCTCCACAACACCCCCCCAATCTGATTAGTGTCAACACAGCTGCCCTATTCTAAGGAATGTAAACTAATATTGTTAGATCTCCCTCAACCTTAGGAAACTTCCTCAAAGCCTTACAGTCTCTTCAGTTTTTCTTTTCCTTATCCCTTTTCTCAATGATTTAAATTCCTAAGACAAATTTGTTGAGAAGATATCAGAAAGGCAAATCATCAATTCCTTAAATAAAATCCTATATGCCGTAATATACATTTATAAGTACGCATGTATAAACATTTAACAGTGCAGTGCTCCAAAATACCTTTATTTGCCATTACACAGTAAAAGTATAAGTCAATCGCCAGAGGACAGGGACATTATTACAGTCCCCTTAGGATTTAGGTGGGTCTCTGGATTGATATAATTAAAAAGAAAGATGGCTTAAAAAAAAAATCTCACCTGATTATTTTGAAAAAAAGCTTCATTTGCTTTTAGGATGAAGGCTGGAGATAGAACTCAGCTAAGAAGTTAAGACACAGTCAACTAATTTGTCTTACTGGTACATGAATACCCATCAGAGGAGTCATTTCGGTGTAGATAGCAGAATGTGATCTGCTTTTTTAGTCTGTTCTTATAAAAATGATTTTATGAATTCCTGAATATTGAGTTTCTTCAAATACATAATGTCACCCAGAATTTTTTCTTTTTCATTTTGTCCCACTGTTTCATCTCCTACTTAGAAAAAAAAAAATCTTACAGCCACCAGAAAAGACTAACCAAGAAAAAGAGATTTTTATATACAATTTGCAAAAACATTACATTGGGTGACCAAGAACCACAATTATGTAAGGTTTTTATTTAAAAAATAAAAATGAAAAAGCATCTCTAAATGGAGTGCTAAAATCTAAAATCCTTACCTCACTAAATTGAGTCTGGGCATTGTTTTCCAGGTACAACATGTTAGCTGTAAGATTGATCAATGCTGCTGTCCTCTCTTCTGGCTCCAGGATTTTGCCAACCCCCCACCCCCTCTGAGACCCTTACTATATGAATCTACTGAGAAGATAACAGAACTCAAGTCCCTCTCTCTCTTTCTCTCTCTGTACATAATTTAAGGTTTCCTAATATATACCCAACTATAGGCATGAGGGGGCGGGACTCTTCTCTTTACCTGTCCAATCCATCAACTTCCACCTGGACTCCTCCACTCCAATGGAGTGAGGCCTCTCCCATCTCATTAAGTAGTTAGAATTCCTTATCACCAATCTTTAAAAGAAAAGGAAAAAAAAAAAAACCACAACCAAGAGACAGACAGGTAAAACTTTCCCTGTCTCTTTTATAAGAAAGAGCACTCTCTTTTAAAAACAAAACAAAATCTCCCCAAACAAACCTTACCACCTCCACGACTTAACAGAAGGTATTTCAGAAAGTTATTTTACTCTATGCAACTGAAAAGTAAAACTTCAGGAAAAATTTTGTAAGGTTTTTTTTTTTCTAGATTTGCAGTTTCAAGAATGATTACACAGTTAGAAATTAGAGGAAAACACTCAAATTCATTGTTAGATTTCGTCGATATAAAAATTAAAATTCGCTGCCTGATAGTTAAAAAGTTTTCAACTTATTTTCCCCAGAGAAATCTAGTGGTTTCATGCCTAGCAATGCCAACATAAGCCATTTGATTTTTTAGACTATGTTTCAGTAACAATTTAAACCTTGGTGCCATTAGCTTGTAAAAGCAAGCAAATATTCATATTGTGTACCAGAAATATAAATCCTGAGGAATGTGCCCTTCTTTTTTTATTTTACAAAAAGCTTATCTATTTGAATATTTCTTTTCTCTACTTTATTGTACCTGGTTTTTATTAATGCTTAAAGAGAATGTCTTCTCTTGTAAATGGGTAACAAAAATTATTTCATATGATGTTTCTATTTAAATGATTAATAGAATAAATCTTAAAGCATAAAAGATTAATGAGCTTTTTCCTTAAAAATATATTTACATAAATACATAACAACATTCATGTGGAATCTGGCCTCCTTTACCATGATTTAGTGAAGATGAAATGCACCCTGTTGGCTATTATGTGACTCGCTAAAATACTCTCTCCTTACTGCTAATTATTTGTAATTCAGTTGGATTTATTTCTAAACAGCACCCTTCACCATCCACTCAGGAAGCCAGTTTCTTCTGTTTTGCTTAAAAGTTACAAGTAACCAAGATAACTATAAGTGAATATTTAGATTTATTCTAAATTTGGAAGATAAAAAGTTTAGAAGGCATACACAAACTTCAAAAATGAAGTTTGCAAATATATTCATGACCTTGGATTTGCCTCCTCTTTACTTCTACTTTTGCATCCATAAATTGTATGCACATAAGGGATGATATTTATTTATTTATTTAAAGACTCCTGAAGTACTGGTAATAATACTTCCTTTTTTATAAAGAATATTTCCCATAATATAATTTGATCTCAAGTATCCAAAAAGATGGCAATATTCTGTAACACCACAAATATACATCAGACAAAACATTCATTTCTTCACTCAAATACTGCAAATATTGGAAAAATGGCCCCTCTTACTACCTGTAATTGACCAAATGAGCATTGTTAACAAGGAAAAAATTTTTTAAAAAAGGAAAAACAAAAAAACCAACTATTTACAAAATACAGTATAATTATTTGTGCCTTGTATTTAAATTCTACACCCACTGACAGCCTAAGAGTCAATAGTGGAAAGCAGATGGCCGCTTCCTTAAACCTGTGCTCTATTCCTGTGACTCAAAAATGTGAATGACCCTGAGAATCATCCAGGGAGATTTTTTTTTTCTTTTCTTTTCTTTTTTTTTTTTTTTTTTTGAGTTGGAATCTCACTCTGTCATCCAGACTGGAGTGCAGTGGCACACTCCCAGCCACCGCAGCCTCGACCTGCTGGGCTCCGGCGATCGTTCCGCCTCAGCCTTCCAAATAGCTGGAACTACAGGCGCGCGCTACCACGCCCAGCTAATTTTTTGATTTATTGTGGAGATGAGGTCTGGCCAAGTTGCCCAGGCGGGTCTCAAACCCGCGGGCTCAGGCAATCCACTCACCTTAGCCTCCCAAAGCGCGGGATTACAGGCTGAGACACCGAGTCCGGCTCAGAGAGATTTTAAAAAACAACCCCAGATCTACTGAATCAGAATCTATGTGGTCATAGCCCTAACGACTAGATTTTGTACAACTTGCTAGGCAATTCTGAATGAGTCACACTTGGGAATCAGTGCTCTAGAGGAAATACTATTAGGACAAATGTCACAGAAAGCCAAGATTGGATTGTTTTTACATTAATGGGATAATGTAACCATTTAAACACCTATATGGAGGGCTCACAGTTTCAAGTGTGGATACACACTCAAAATGTAATCAAACTTTATCTTCTACAGAGTCAAAAGATTCCCAGTGAGATTTGACGAATGAAAAAGGCCAATTCCTTCTGTGTACCTCAGCCATCAGCATGATGTTTTCTGTCTAGCATATCTGCAAAGATTCTGAATAAAATCTAAGACGATGTATCGACCATAGCTACTTGAGAACTTTGAGTAGTTGAAAAGAGCACTGAACTGAGAGTTTGGAGATATGGGCTCTGTTCCCAGCTCACTTTTAGCTAGCTCTGTGCCCTTGGGGCAAGTTACTTAACCACTCTGGATTCAGATTCCTCATTTGTGAAATGAGGGGCAGAACTAAATGATTTCTAAAGACCATTACAAAGATAAGAGTTTCTGTTTTTGTTCAGAATTCAGGGAAGTGGCTTAGAGAATTACTCAACTTGCTCTTATTTTACTTGGATATATGTCCTTCAATTTACTCATCTCCATTTGTACAACTGAAGCAGTCAAGTTGCACAGATACTTAAGATACTTTAAATGACTTGAGGAAAAAGGAACAACGTACTGGGGGGAAACCATATTTTTTTGCTTCAAGGTATCTTCACAATGAAAAATTAGCTAGTAATCCATATAAACTTAAACTTAGCCCAAACATTTCCATAAAAAAGCTACTTAAAGTACATCTGATAAAGTTTTATTTCAGAATTAGTCTGAGTACCTGATATAAACATCATGCATTGATTTAAGCAGATGATTAGAAGGAAGCAACAATTCTTAGCACTCACCACTGAAAAATGCTTACACATGGATCTCAAAGATTAATGTATTTTAATTTTCCTAATAACCTAGTGATGTAATTTACTATTATTAGCTACATTTTACAGAAAAATAAACAGATTCAAGGATATTAAGTGAATGTCTAAGTCTGTAGGAGACAGTACAACTCTCAGAGCTCATGCCTTCCTATTCTTGGGCATTGCCTCAGACTTCTTAAAGCTAAACGACTTCAGATTTAGGGGTCAGCACTTTCTCCTGAATAAGAATGTCAGTGCTGTAAATCCACAGCTTTGAGAATAGATGTTCAGATTATGAGACTGACGCGCTGCCTACTGCGCTAAGAGGGCCACTAGTTCCAGCTACTTGGAAGGCTGAGGCAGAAGGATCGCCGTAGCCCAGCAGGTGGAGGCTGCGGTGGCCGGCAGTGGCCACTGCATTCCAATCTGGGCGACAGAGTGAGATTCCAACTCAAAAAAAAAAAAAAAAAAAAGAGAATAGATGTTCAAGATGTGGGATCAAAACAAATGCTTTTTAGAAATAGCAGAATGCTAACATTTTGTAAATATCCTTCTTTAGCAATTATTCAACTCTTTATCATAAGTACTATAAATATTTTTCTGCATATGTGTTTGCATGTACATGTTTGCACATGTGTGTGTCTCGTCCTTCAAAATTGCATATGGTATTATGATTTGCTTTTTGGTGAAAAATTCCAATTTTTTCCATAATCAAATTTACCACTTTTTCCCCTTCTGTCCTATTAATTTTCAGACATAGTTTGAAAGACCTTTCCCAACTCATTGTTATAAAATTCTAAAACCATATTAAGATATATTTACTGTTTTTTGAATTTCTTATGTGAATCTTTTAACTTTCCAGAATTTATATTTGTATGAGAAACAAAGATAGATCCATTCTCACCCCAAGAAATAAATAACCAATCTTCATCATTTATTGGATAATATATATTTTTCTCAGATTTAAAATGTCATTTTCATAAATACCAAATGTCAAGGGCTCCATTTCATATTCCTGTGTGAGAAAGTTAAACAAGTATATAAATCCTAGGCATGCAGAAAATATTTGTTTGAAGCTCTTAATCCATGCTCTGTGAGGTTGAGGAGGGAAAAACATTGGCACCTATAAAATTTTAGAAGGAAAGAAAGGAATTTTGTGCTCTTGGATCTATGTCTGTAATAGTTGGAGGTAAGTAGAGCAAACTCAGTTTTGTGAAGACGGGTAATAGAGATTATGAGTTCCATCACAAACACCTTAGCTTTATTGAATTAAGAGTGAAGTTAGAAAATGCCAAGAACTTGGGATTAGGTTGCTATTTATTAAAGGAATCAAAAAATCTGTGGCTTGTTTTTATAGCAACAGTTGATACTCTAAGAAAAGAGTATGTAGCTGGTTCTAAATACAGTCCCCTCAGCTATACATAGGGGATTGGTTTTAGGATTTCACAGATAATAAAATCCATTAATTCTCAAGTCTCTTATATAAAATGGCACAGAAGTTGCATATAAGCTACATACATCCTCGCTTACACTTTAAATCACATCTAGAGTATTAGAATACCTAGTGTAACTTAAATGCCATATAAATAGTTATCCTGTGTTTTGTTTGTATTTTTTACTGTTGAAGTTATTTTTATTTTTTCCCAACTATTCTTGATTTATAGTTGGTTGATTCTGTGAATGTGGAACCAGTGGATACAAAGGGCTGACTGTATATTAATCATTCTGTTTTAACCCCAAATCTACCTGAGATAGAAAAAGAAATACACAGCCATGCCTCCAATTTCTCCCCTTCCTCCTAGAGTTTCCCTGCCAACCCTTCATCTTTCCTAAAGGGCAACTCTGATCATGTCACTCCTCAGGGTGCCCAATGCCAATGGGATCAAACAAGCTACTTAGATAGGCATTAAAGGTCCTTTAAAATTTGGCCCCAAACTACCC